CGTCGCAGCAGCAGGCTCGCCTCGGGTCTTGTACGGTGGGACATGTTAGTGATACCGCGCCCCCAGCACCCCTGGAGGACACTGGTTAATGTCGGATTTGGAACAAAGGCGCTGACACGTTAAGATGACAAGTGTCTTGCTTCTTCCTGGGAAGTAAAGGAAGTTTACCCTTTATTACAGGATCTGGAATAACTCAGTAGTTCCTGATGATTTCTAGCAAGGACACTACCGCAGGTTGCTCCTGAAGGCAAAGATAGGGTTTTTTATTTCACGCACCGTGTTCCCTTTTGTCTTCCATTTTTTCCTTCTGACTAAAAGTGCCTCTTCCTCCTCCACTTGCTCCTCAGTGGGTTTGTCATTGGTTCCAGTACTCATCTCAGAAATACTGGGGTTCAATGGGAATCGTGGTAACGTAAATTGATGAATTTCACCTCAGCAATACCCCTTTTCTGTTATAGTACCATTGGCTCTCTCTGTTACAATTGGCCATGCTGGATTTATTACTGTGGATTAGTCTGGCTCACCCCTTCCCCTTGTGCTTGCCTGCCTTCTGACCTTCCTACTCACATCAGGGGAAACAGAAGAATCAGAACTTGGCTCTATGAACTGTGCCCTTAGAATGAATGTATCAGGGACAACACTGGAGGATGCAATAAAATGAGATTTGAAGATAATCCAATGATTGGTCTTTCTATTCATGTGCTAGCCTGCGTCCGTAACTGGGGAGCGGTCACTTAGGTCCTGAGAAGATGATGGTAACATCCTGGACACCGCTCCACGATGGTGCCGGCCCCTCGGATCTGAGCTGCCACGTTCTAAGAGGTGAGAGCAGGCTTCATTTGACCTGGACACACACCCCCATAGTCTTTTGGGGTAAGAGTAAGCTTTTTATGTTAACCATGGAATGGCTGTCACTTAATTCAGGCATTAAAATATATATATATATATATGTGAAAACCACATTCTCTGAACTAGGCAGTCATCTCTCAATTAAACCCATAGGACTTCCACCAGTGCAAAGTCCCACTATCTTGTAGGGCATGCTGGCTGGAGAGGACCCTGATGGCCAGAGAGCAGAACATCCGTTGGGATTCAACGGGGTGCGTTTCTAAGGCTGGTTTGGGGAGGCAGAGTGATCTTCACTGAGGAAGGTCTATCAGTCTCGTCTGGAAATGTTGACACCAGCATGTACATAAACCACATTATGATGGTGTTCTAGATTAGCACATCTAGATGGTGTTCTAGATTAACCTACGCTAAACACCAGCTGGTGAGCAGCTGTGAAAGATCAGATGACGAGAGACTATGGGGCCATTAGCAGTTTCCCATGGATTTGATTGACTACCTGATACTTAAAGGAGCCCCGGGGGTGCAGATTCAGCTCTGAATTGCAAAGTGAAAGGTGATTGGTGAAACACTGGCTGATGGGAAGCAAGGCAGGCTGCTGCTGTCCAGAGGCGCCTGGAGCAGCTCCGGCCTGCAGCACCGCATCGGGAGCACCTGCACCTCCACCTCCGCGGCCATGCACTGGCTTTGCTTGTATTTAAAGTGCTTTTGGAAGAAATGATCTCGACCTGGGGGGGGGGGGTGTTTGTCAAACGACCCTTTCACAGGGTCACCCAATTCATAACAGTAGCAAAATTCCAGTTATGAAATAGCAATGAACATTTTATGGTTGGGGGGGGTCACCACCACATAAAGGGTTGCGGCATTAGAAAGGTTGAGAACTACTGCCCTACTGAGACCCTGATTGTATTTACAATTTGATGTGTGTATGTGTATGTGTGTGATTCTAGAATCTTTTTTTAAAAATCCACTCAAACACACAATAGCATTACTGTGAGATTTATTTCCCAATGGTAGCCATTATACTGCACAGCAATGAATCGTCTAGCCTCACCGAGCTGGCTGCTGTGCATCAGCCTTCGGCAGCAGCCCCACCGGCCATGCAGACATCAGACTGGCAGCAGCGCAGATTCCTTTTGGTCTTTGAAGGAACAGAAAGGGTTTTGCCTAACAGGATGTCACAGCACTGTCATCATTCTTGCTCAGTAGCAATGTGTTCACAGCAACGAGCTGCACCTGTGGTCCTAAGGGCAGCGGATGCCATCCAGACCCAGCACCTAACTGCAGTGTTCCCAAAGGGGGCACATGCCTGTAATCAGGAGCCACAATCCTACAGCTTTCTCTTGGCCCTGTTGACCTGGGCACAACCTGAGATTGGCTTTGTCATTAGTTGTATTCCAGTTGTGAGCCCCCAGGGAGACAGGGCAGTCCATCTGCCCCTCCATCTGGAGAAACCCGTCCCTGCCAGAGGCATCAGCGGAGCCATCAGCGACGGGATGCAAGTGGTGAGATTGTGAAGAGGCAGCTCTGCAATCCTTGACCTGAAGTGCTCACGCAAGTGGCTTCTTGCTGAGAGAGCTACTTACCCAGGTTTGGAAACAGTGACTGACAGGGGCCTTTACTTCACCTTCACCACCCTGAATCTACTCCTGTGGCTGGTGACTTCAAAGACAGTCCAGTGGGAAAAAGAAGCCCTATGTATTAAGATCTGATTTTCCCGTCGTTTGGATCCGCCACCTAGCCCTAACCCCTGGTTTCATTTGGTTTTGAACAGGAAGAGGACTGATTGACACCCTGCGAGGCCTCCCTCTGTGAGGGGTGTGAGCATGTCCTTGCTCTTGCCTCACACAGGACACTGCCACCAGAGCAAGCCCCAAGGGTACAGCTTGAACAGGAAAGACGTTCTTTCCCTTCTGCTTTACCCCGTTTTAAAATTTAAACTCTGTGAGCTCTCATACCGCCGAAATGAGGAACAAGGAACGAGGGATTTGGGGAGTGCAAAATGCAATGTTCTTTCAAGTATAACAGCATATCTAAATTGGTCACTACTGAAAATCTGTAAAATAGAAATAAATAGCTGACATCTCTCTTCTCTAAGAACTTTGGCTCAGCGGCCGTGGCGCCATCCCGCAGCAGCAGCAGCTGTCCTGAAGTCACCACAGCCGGTGTGCCCGTCACGCTTCAGACCTGCTCAGTCCACCTCCTACAACAAACAAGGAAGAGCAGCCAGTTAGCCAGTGTCACACTGGAGCCAGGACGCGGACAGTAGGACGTCTAGTGGCTGAAGCTACATCTCGACATGGGCACAGTGACATACATCTCGCGCTTCACGGACTTGCTGTACAAGGTTTGAAGGCTTAGACAGCCCAGTCAAAACCCCTTATCCACAAAGTCTTGATGATCCGGGGGAAACCAGTCTGGAGGCCTGACAGTCTACACACCATAACCTTGTCGACCTTGGTGCAACTCAAATTCTTGGAAAGTCCGACTTCCCGGACCAGGTCAGACGGGATTCCCTGGTACTAGTACCCTGAGGCTCTTCCCAGAGTCCACCGTCATTCCCACCAGCTGGGTGGACGGTGCCACATAACACAGTCACACGATGCCGACGATCAACACTGACTAAGTGACGTGAGAACGGGACAGGCAGGCTCCACTAATGGACAGTGAAAATGTACAATTTGTGTGGAAAACAGTTCAATGGGAACCTTCTTGTGTAAAACTTCCACTAAAAATACTACTTAAAAACACATTTTCCATCTACCATGGCAGCCAACAACTGGTCACATCTACTGAATCACTTAGGGACGCAGAAAGACACCTTCGCAGGTCAGAAGGGTTCTTGTTCCCGCCCCTCGGTGATTGGTAAGGAGCCCTGGTGGAGCAGTGATTAAAGCACGTCACTGCTAATCGAGGGTGGCGTACATGTTGATACTCGAAGCAGCGCTGCTGGCTTTCATCTCGAGGGGCACTGCTGCTGTACCCACCGGTCACAGCCCTCCGTCCAAGAGAGCTGAGTGCCATGCAATGTGCACGTGCGGATGCTGCCCTGGTCGCTGGTTTAAGAATCAATAGAAGGCCATTTATTTTTACATCAGAAATAACCAAGTTTACTTTTTTTTTTAAAGCCCTTTACATAGCGGATTCCAAAATAGTGGCCCCGGGCCATGACCTCAGAGGTAGCAAAGGCCTGTGATGAGAGTCATCTCTCCTGGTTGCTAGAGCCAGCCCACTGCCTGACGTCACAGCCACTAAGCCCGGCTGTCTTCCATTTCAGTAAGATTCTACCATAGTATCAAGCAAGCCTTCATCTCCACAGAGTACACAAAACTGTCAATGAGTTGCCTCACGGCCACCCTACAGGACAGGACAGACCTACCTCTGGTTTCCAGAGCTAAATCTTTGCCCTGAGGAAGGGCTGGTGGTTTTGAACTGCTGACCATTACACCACCTGTAATGGAATAGTAATTCCTTCCTGGAATAGTAACATCTTAAAAAGGAAGCATCTTACACTGTTAAGTTTACCCCTTGGGGAAACAAATCCAAGCCTTTCGTCCTAAGCAGGAGGCAGGCTGCGTCCCCAGCAGCAGGGAGGTGCCTGGTCCCCAACTGGAGAGGAACAGAGATGGGAGGGAGCAGGCAGAAAGCCGAGAGGGCATAAGCAAGACCAGAGCAGAGAGACATCGCTGGTTCTTACGTTTCTGGCCAAGTTCCTCACGTAGGCGAGTAGATCCTGGTTAATAAAGTTCACAGCTGTGCGAAAGACATCACAGAGCAAGGATGGCGTGTGATCGGCCACCTTTTTGGCCAACAGCATGGCCAACATTAGCTTGGTCTTTTCCACTTCCATGTCCCTGGGGAAGGCCTGCATGACCTGGTCCAGGGCAGCTGCCAGGTGACACCTTCTGTCCTGGACAGGGATACAGAAGAAAAGCCACACAGGACCAATTACTAAGATCCTTTGTTGAAAGAGGAGCTGTCCCAGGCCATCCTCTCAACAGCAAGTAGGGCGACGCCTTTCATTTCTTCAGGAAGTAGGGGTGTTGGTGCACAGAGAGTGGGGAAGCATGGAGAGACAACAGCAAGCAGAGTCTGAGCTCACTGCTTGGAGTGGGATGTTCCTTAGCCACACATGCTGAGTTGAGCACCACCACGGGCTCACTATCAGCGAGGGACTGCCAAAACCCCACATCTTGCGCAGGAACGGGGTGGGGGGGCCACCGGTTACACCCCCCTCCCCAGGAGAGGCAGATCATCCACCATTAGACCCACTCAAGCAACACGTTCCCCGGGGAGCGGCCCCGAGGCAGGGCTCAGATTACGGTGGCTGCTGGAGAAAAAGCCTTCTTGGAAGACAGACGGCTTGACTTGGCTGGCCAATGCCTAAATGGTAGTGCATTGCTGGCAGAAGCCGTCTCCTGCGAGCTCCTCTAGCTGCAGGCACTAATCTGAGGGCCTGGGGTATCCCCCTCTCCCCCCAAGTTTCTTCAGGAAGAACAGAGTGCCTTGGACCCGTTCAAGAGCGTCTGGAATCCTGCCAGATGCCAAGCAAATGGACCAGCCCAGTAGTTACTTGCAGAGTGACCACAGAGCCAAGAGTAACTTCTCTCGTCACCCTTGGGTGAGCTCTCTACCGGCATCTCTATCCAGCAGGCCGGGAACGAAAACGACAGTGGGGCTTATTTCGGGACAAGCCCCACGCATTTCACAGACAATCCTGTTGCAGGTCTTTTACCCCTAACCCCCCCGGCTCTGCCTTAAGGTTCAGGGTTGTGAAATGCCACCTCTCACAATCTTCTAAACGTCCCTCCAACTCCACTTACAGGACCTCGTTGGTTCAACGGACAGATAAGACAGTCCTCACCCTTCCCCCTTAACCCAGGGAGGTGTCAGCGAGCTGAAAGGCTTTACTTACTTCCTCTGACAGGTTCGCGTTCCTAAAATGCATCACCAGGTTTTGCACCAGACCTGGCTGGACACTGCTTTCCATCTCATCCCCCATCTGGGCAAGTCGCACGGCGATGTTGTGGATGACTTCGTCCTGGCTGTCGGAATCTGAGCGCCCAGGCAGGGGCAGGAGAGGCACAGTGCACTCAGACAACGGCCGGACCCACTCCTCCCCATCCCCACACGAAAGGCTGCTGCCTGGAGCAGACCCTGCACCTGCCTCCTCGGCTGGGCTGTTGCTCCAAGCCGCTGGGCCACTCCCCGGGGAGAGGACCACCCCCACCCCCACCCCCGGGGTGAGGACGGGTAGCAGCCCCGGAGCAGCTCGAGAAGGGGGCCTCTCCCCACTAGAGTGAGCATCTGCCCGCAGGATCCGAGATGCTGGGAGCATTCGATGTCTGAGGCACAAACCTAGATGCAGCCTCAGGGGCTGCCACTTCTAGACCCCAGGGGCCAACAAGATGCTTTTAGGGCAGGGACGGTTTAGGTCCCACCTCTACTTCCTAGTCTTGGGACTTAAATGTCACTAGGTTGTGGAGACCAGGCCCGGCTCACCCAAGTCTTCCTAAGACGGAGCTATGCTCAGGGTCATCAGGTCACTGCTGACCCAGCAACGCCTATGTTGACGGGCATGGAAAGCCCAATCTCTCTCCCTGTTGGTGGTTTCAAACTGCTGACCACACGGATGGCAGCCACATGTGTAACCACTACACCACCAGGGCGCCTACAAAGGCTCCATCCTCTAACTGGAATTCTCCCTCCCCATCTGCTGCTATGCCTGCCTGAAGGCCTTCACCCTGCAAGGCAGGGCCCGCTCCAGCCTCTCTCTGCCAGGCCATGTCTGACAGTATCCAGTCTAGTAGGAATAGCCCTGACTCCTTGTCCACCTGTCCCTTCCCACTGTCCTGCTTGGCACTTAGGACGACACAAGGAAACTATCTTAACATTCCATTTCCCCCAAACTTTTTGAAGGCCTCTCATAGATAGTCTTATGTTATTTGTGACGGTGTAAGTTTCATAAAGGCCACACATTATAACGTGTTTCGTTCACTGCCAAATATCCAGCACCCAGCACATAACAGGTGCTCAGTAAACAAATGCAGAAAGAAAGAGATGAGATGAACGGGGCCCAGGATCTAACACTCTGCCATTGAGGCGAGTCTGACTCAGACGGACGGCACAATTGCCCTGGTGGGTTCCCGAGGCCGTCGACCTTCAGGGGCGGGGCAAAAAGCCTCATCCTGGAAATGACTCCAAAAATATCAGCTCTGTTAGTTCTCTGTGCTCGCAAACCTCACCCTCACCTCGCCTTTGCCAGTGCATTTGCACCAACCCTCAGCTCCCGTCTCTCCTCCCCACGGGCACTGCCACTGCCTCTCATTTGGCCAATTATAGTTGCCTCCTTAAATACTGTGCTCCAGGTGTCTCACTGACTGCCCCCTGGCCTGGCAATGACCTCACCTTTCTGCCCAGGACCTTCCATCTGCTCCCCTGCCTGAAGACATGGTCTGGCTTCATCTTACACTGTCACTGTTCCTTTCAGATGCGCTAACCAAACCCACCTGCCCCGCTCCCTGCTCCAAGCAACCTCGCCAGGGGCCCTGCGAGTGCCACTCCCTCTGGCCCAAGAGCCATGCTGCCCCAGCCTCTGCTCTGGGGCAAGTGCAGCTGGAAGGTTTTTCTGACTCCCCAGAGAGCGGACGATCACCTGCCAGCCCCCACAGTCCCTAATCTGCCCGGCTTCAGGTTTTAGGTACACCTTGCCCTGGCCTCAGTCACCAGTGCATGGCCGGCCTGCCAGAGCTCAGCTGGGCAAGTTACCTCGTCAATGGCATGTTGGGGTCCATTGCCTCCCAGGCCTTGTGAGGTTCTGAATCGGCACACTAGTCTCTACCACAGGGTGAGCTGACGGAGCAGCCAGCATCACCTTCATGAATGCCGTCTGGGCAAGTCAGGCTCTGCAGACTACAGAGAAGGGGCACTATAGCACACACCTTCCCAAGCTTAGGTGGCCTATGGCCCCTTTTCAGAAAAAAAACAAACCACTCAGGGCTCCCCGACAAAGAAACATGCACGATATAGCCCATGATGCAGGATCAAGTGTAGTTCTCTGTTTTTACAGCAACAACCCCTCCACCACCACCCACCTCCAACTGGTCATTCCAATGGGTAGTATTAAAGCACTGGTGTAGATGGGGTGCGTGGACAGCCTGAGCCACGGCTGCTGGCACAATGGCACTGCAACAGCTCCATAGAGCAAAGCCACCTCTCCCACCCCTCCAGCCTTTTCTAAGTCTTTCTAGAAGGTGCCAGGTACTGGGGGCTGGCAGAAGTCACAAGAAGTCGCTGGCACAGCGTAGCTGGGGGGGCAGAGGGTACTGCTGTCCCGTTCCCACCCACCCCACTTCCAAGCAGGACTGGAGGCCACAGTGCTGGGTTGGCTGTCTTCTGTGCAGCCACCAGGGGGCAGTGCCACCTTTATACCAGGAGAGTGGCCCAGGGTAGATGTGTCCTACCCTTGGGTTAGGGTGCCTGGGTCCCAGAGACCCCCAGAGTCACACTGGACTCTGGGAAGTGACTGGTTCTAAACAGGGTGTGCACGGGAAGCACCTGGTCACTTCCACCCAGGAGGTTGGGAGTCAGGCAGCTGGAATTGGGCCCTGGGCCTGGGTATTGTGGAAAAGTTTTTCCCACAGTTCCAGTGAGAAGCGCCGCTCTAAGGCCAGACCCAAGAGTGGCCACACCTCAACATGCTGCTTCCAGCCTGGGGCAGCCTCTGCCAGTCCAGCACTAACGCCAATTCCCAGCTGCCTTTTCCTACCCCAGATGAGGATTACCGCCAGGGACCCAGAAAGTCTGCAGTTGGAGGCAGTGCTCCCACCAGGGGAACAGCTGGGCCCAAGCTCAAAGCCAGAGGCCTGACTCCAGGGCCCACTCGGCCATGCCTACTAGTCACTGCTTGGTTGGTGGCTCACAATCCTCCTCACTAGTCTAGTAATCTTATTTGAGACAAACACACTGCGTCGGCTGAATCCCAGCCCATGCCCCTGTAGGGCAGCGCAGAACGTCCCACGTGGTCTCCAGGGCTGTAATTCTTTATGGAAGCAGACAGCCTCATCTTTCCCTTGGAGGGTGGCTAGTGGGCTTGAACTGCTGACCTTTAGGCTCCACTAGGGCTTCTCAGTTATTTTATGGGTCAGAAGTCTATGAAAGTAAATCAATATCTGTGGACATATTTGTTTGTCTCACAAATATATACATAGAAAAGAAAGTGTAAGGAGTCATGTTATAAAAAGAAAAAAGAATTGTTACAAAGTAGCCAGGTGGATTTCCATTGGCTGGAAAATCAGCCAGGCATGGTTGAAGTGGACTGGGATGGTGTGAACAGAGCACTTGGGGGGCTGCGCCCAGACCAGACGCATCGGAATCTCAGGAGCTGGGACCCCGGGACCTGGGGCTGGGCTGCTAGCTGCAGGATCAGCCGTTTGAAACATCCAGCAGCTTCTCAGGAGAAAGTTGGGGCTGTCAGCTCCTGCCAAGATTTATAGCCTCGGAACCCAAAGGGGCGGGTGGTTCTACTGGGCCCTAAAGTCACTCACTATGAGTTGTTGTTTTCTTTAGTGTCCTTGCACTGACACGAATGGCACGTGTGAAAGCCCTCAGGTCTACAATCTCCGTAAGGGGTTTCCCGATGGGGCTGTGCCCGAACACCTGTCCTAGTCCCTACTGGCCCTGGGAGCAGAATCGGTAGCACTGGGGGATATTCTAGCAGGCCACACATCTCACAGCCACCCGAGAGTGGTGGCTGGTGAGTTCTACCCCATGAGAGGCAGGCCAAGCACAGGCTACAGCTAAGTGGCCGACAGATCCGGCAGTGGAGACTGAACCCAAAAGCTTCTTCCAGCGCCCAGGACCGCTGATGGTCCTGGGAACAAGGAGGCCCAGATCCCGGGCGCACAGCACCCACCTGCGGCGATTCCTTCCAGGTGGAAGTGGCTGCTCCGGTTGCCGTCTGTCTGCAGGTCCTCGGCCTGCTCCAGGAAGGCCGCTGTGGGCAGCTCCCGGCCCAGCAGCTCCAGCTCATCTCGGAAGTTACAGTGGGCGCAGTGTTTGAGGAAGCTGAACACCAGCAGGTTGGTGATGTGCTCGCTCGGATGTCCTGCGCCATTGCTGCCCTGAGGAAAGGAGAGACGGGCCTGTGGGCTCGGGGACAGCCTGGCCCAAGGCAGTCTCACCGGCCCCAGGGCTCTGAGATGCCCTGTGAAGAAGGGGCCTCATCTCTGGGCACACAGGCCGGGTTCCCCTGGCAGGACATGGCTCCCATACGCAGAGCGTGGCCCCGGAACCCATCGGGCCGATGGGCTGCCTGCCGGGGCAGGGAGACCCACCTGCTGCTTCCGGGAAGACGTATGCGGATGCCGGCATCCGACAACCAAGCCTCCTCCTGTGGCCATGCACCTAGATGCCTTCTTTGTTCACAGCCCCTTTGGGAGGGCCAGGATGGCACCGTGGGGACAAGAGATTTTCAAGAAATGCTGGGAAGGCGCCCTGGTGGCACCGTGGTTAGAGCGCTCAACCGTGACCCCGACGGCCAGCGATTCAAACCACCAGCCACTGCTTAGGATGGGGCCGCTCCCCTCTGTCCCATAGGGCCGCCTTCTAGGAGTCGGAATGGACCCGGCAGAAGTGCCAAGGGAATACAAGACACCTCACTGCCCACTTTAGGGGCTGTACGCCTCTGAGCCCCATCCTGCTGGACAGCTCCAAGGGTGGCCGCCTCACAGGCCCGTCTGGCTCGGCCCCCGGAGCAGCCCTTGTCACAGCCATGCAGTGCCACCTCGTGCTGGGGAGTCAGTTCCCTGACCAGTGAGCACCACTGGCCATCGGATGAGGATGAGCTGCCCTGGCAGGCTAGGGGCACTGGCCCCTGCGACACCTGTCCAGGTGGACCTGACACCCTGGCCTTTAAGAGCTGGTTAGTGAAGTGGTGGAGACTCAGGTACAAGTGATTTTCCACCCTCCAAGTCCTGAATACTTTTCATTAGAAAAATCCCAAAACTGGAGGGCCATTGATAGCAGGCAAATGGTTTTGAACAAAGAAAATGCCCGGCCTCCAAAATGTGTTCTAAAGCAAGGGAATGTCTCTGTAAAAGGCAAACCCTAACCGCTCCTGGCCTGGGGCCGGCGGAACAGGCCTCGTTTCCGCCTCTGGAAGTCTTGAAGTCCTAACTCGGGTACCCAGGACAATGGCCTTAATTGGAAATAATTTTTTTTTAAACATTTTATTAGGGGCTCATATAACTGTTATCGCAATCCATACACACATCAATTGTGTAAAG